AAAGAGACCAAAACAAACAGCAAACAATATCAACTTTTTTTAAGTGTCCTGCATTTTGTTTAATTGCTGATACCCCTTACTCTCATGTTGTTTAATTGCTGATGTCCCTCCTCAAACAAGGCAACAGGATAAAGGCGAGAAGGCGGTTTCTTTTCTGAAAATCATACCAGATGAACACCCTAAGTCCTCAATTAGCATACAACTGTAAATGAAATGGTATAACTTTGGACTAAGATGCTCTACTAAAATGCTATTTATCCATGGACCATTCATAATCGAATGGATATTAAAAACATCAGGTACACAATATGAGACGTCACGTTAAAATCATATCGATTAACAAAAAAGTATGTTGTTTCAAGTTGGATATTAAAAACATCAGGTACACAATATGAGACGTCACGTTAAAATCATATCGATTAACAAAAAAGTATGTTGTTTCAAGTTGCACATGTGACAAATATTACATGGATGCTTCCCAAACAATGAATTTAGGATTGAGAATTCTAGATTTGAAATTATCTCAAATGATCTCTTCTCTTTTGAACTTGATCTAGAATCACCCACTGTTTCCATCGCTCAAAGAGAAGTGATTAACTAGTAATAAATGAAAAGAATCACATAAGTACTAGATACACGTTAAAATCAGCTAGTCTTTCTTAAATCCATTTTCACCAAAATCCCAAGGCTTCATGTAACTTTAGCGTTTTAATCAAATATGAGCATTTCATACAATTGTAGTGTTTCTGTCAGTTGCAAACATTTGTTTTAACATAACTAATAAATGCAGCTGCAGTTAATAAGTACTTTTTACTGTGCATGTGGAAAAAACTAAAAACCCAAATAAACACCGGCAAACAAGATGAAATTTTGAAATTTTAAAACTGAACTTACTATATCATGCAACACTTGTTATAATGCAAATGGATATTCTGCAGTGATAGTGAAGAAATATTTCATCACAAACCTGGGATCCAACTTTGCAAGCCTCAAGATAATATCTAACTGCTCAACATCACGTAAATCAACAGGAAGCAGCTTATAATGATCGCTCAGAAAATCCAGCTTCACCTTCCAAAGCTCCTCAAGTATAAAAATTATTAAAAAAAACCTTAGCCATATCATCCTTTTCTTTTTCTTCTTCTGCGTGAATAAATTACAAGTTGGAGTAAAGAGGTGAACTCCTGCAAGAGCCCATGTTTTCCTTTTTCCCCGTGACAACATGTACAACAGAGCCCTGATCGAGAAAATTTACTTGAGAAGTGTAAACAAGTAGAGAAAAAGCTTGCAGTACTTTACTTTAAATGTGTAATTACTTTCACATTAGTAGTGAAAGTAAAGAAATTTATGAACACAACATTACATGAGTGGAAGGATTAACAAAAACATGAATGAAACTAGCAACAGTTTATATGCTTCATTGCTTTAAGGATCTGTTGTGTGTCATTATGTGTCATGTTTCGTGCTTATATGCTTCATTGCCCGTGAAAAATATTTCGGCACACAGTTTGCCTCTCAGGACATCCAACCAAACAAATTAACCCAACATCTTTACATACTACGTGTATCCATATTCCATAAACCAAGTCAAGTTTCACACCAGGTGTACCAAGAGCACAGTTTGTGTCTAATAGAAACAGAACCAACAAACTCAAAAAGGTATGAAGTGCGGTCTAGCAAAACCCGGATATACGACCTAGACCCAAACTGATCCTCGAACCCAACAAAATCAATTCAGGGCACAATTTCTCACTCTGGCTGTCAGTGAATTAGCAGATAATGCATGACTAATACAAGTTTGTTGTAAAATACTGAGGACAGAGTTCTCAAAGCACTGCAAAAACGCTAAAAGCAAAATACCAAAAAAAAAACGTTACTGAAAAGAGTTTGTTGTAAAAGACTCACGCTAACTTCAACACGGTGATCGTTTTCACTAGCTTGTTTAAGCTTTGCTGATGTATATTTCACTAGCTGTCCAATATGTAATCTCGTCTTGTGCCTGCGAGAAATGGTCAATGTTAGAACATGGCACACAAAAGGCCATCAATTCTACTGCGAGATAAACTGATCTAGCAAGCTACTGCTAGATCAGTTTCCCTAATAGAAAGGAAGACTAATTTCAACCCTATGGGGTTGTATCCAACGAAGAATGCTACAGTTCGGGGAGGAAGAAATGGGAAGAATAACATTGGCTTACAACGAATGCCAGTGTAAGCTGCTTTCGAAAACGAAAGCGCCCAATTAATGGATCAGCCCCCGCGCGTCTTCGAGCGCGGAAGGAAAGAAATTGGCCACCCTGAATTCATCGCGTTGGAAACCTTGTTTTGCGCCTTTCAGGCAAACAGTTTCCCTAATAGAAAGGGGAAGAAACTGTAGAAATCAGAAATAAAAGGAACGAGGTACCTGAGAGTCCAAAGGAGAGTGAGATCGGAGACGGATTAGCTGCGAGCTCGACGACCTATATCGGAGATGAGATCGGAGACGAGACCAACAGCTCGACGAATAGATTAGTTACAAGATCGACGACGAAATCAGAGTTGAGATCGGAGACGATGAGATCGAAAAACGGCGAAGAGATTAGCGACGAGTTCAGCGATGAGATCGACGAATTTCGGCCATGGCGATCTCCCAGAGCGAACGAAGAGGGAGATATTTTTATTTTAGAAAGGGGTGATGATTTGAGAGAGAGAGAAAGAGGGATATTTGGTAAAGCGGTGAGAAAAAAAGAGATTTAGTTTCAGTGTTAAAAAAGAGATTTAGTTTCAATGTTAAGCACAAACCAGCCTATAAAATCGGCCCAAATCAAAATTATTGGGCCTAGCGAAGCGGTTTTTGTAAACTGTTGTCAAAGCATTGCAAAACCGCCCCCATAGATACCTAACGCAACGGTCATAAGCGTTGCACTAGAACTGTTGCGTTAGAGCAAATATGTGGTAGTGTTATGTGGCTCCGCGACTATGCTTCATACTATCTTACTTCACTATCGACATTTCGGGCCTACAATTTCTTTATAGCTCGATATATACTTCCGTATTTTTTTTGAAGTACAAATAGGGCAAGACGCTCTATCATTGTATAAAATAGGAAGTTAAATGTATTTACATATATTTATATCTAGTTGTGATTTAACGATAGATCCTAAATTGGTAGAGGAGCGGACCTATGTCGTTACTCTACACAATAGAGGAACAAAGTAAAATCACATATAAATATACAAAAGAATATACAATAATGCGAATAGTTTACCACCCACAACCTATAAGTATAGCACACCAAAAACTTGTTAGTAAGTTCGCTAGGGGACACTCACAAGTAAAAAATAAGGTTTCCTAGACGGAAAATTCCGTCTAGGATACCTAGAATTCCGTCTAGAATGCGTATTCTAGACGGAATTCCGTCTAGAATACGCGTCTAGTATGTTTCCGTCTAGGATGTAGTATTCTAGACGGAAATTCCGTCTAGAATACATTCTAGACGGAATATTCTAGACGGAATTCAAAACAGTCTAGAATACATCATAGACGGAATATTCTAGACGGAATTTCCGTCTAGAATATTTCATCCTAGACGGAAAAAATTTCCGTCTAGGATGAGTATTCTAGACGGAAATTTCTAGAATAATACATCCTAGACGGAAAAAATTTCCGTCTAGGATGAGTATTCTAGACGGAAATTCCGTCTAGAATACTCATTCTAGACGGAAATTGATGATTTTAATTTTTTTTATTTTTTTTATTTTTAAATTATCCTAGACGGAATTTGAGCATCCTAGACGGAATTTCCGTCTAGGATGCTATGCTACAGTAGTTTTTTTTTTGAAATTCTACTTTGAGTGCATGTACACAATATTTAACAAAAAAAAATTAATATTCATATCCAACACAATCTAATTATATTCCAATATCAAATCCTATTATATTCAAATAATACATTCACCAAAATAGTAGAGAGATACATAAATTGTTTACAAACTTTTACATAAATTATTTACAATGGCTATGACACTGCAGAAGCTTCTTCAACTCCTTCCCTATACATTTACTCAAGCCCTCTTCTTCTCCTTCTTCACCTTCTTCCTCATCATCCTGAGTGTAACATAAGGACACAAGCAATGCATCAATATATGTACAAACTGATCCATAAGGACACAAGCAATGCATATATATAAAAGAGATACCAATAGTTGAGGACTAATTAGAACAAGCAAAAGCCACTAAACCAAGTACTATAGGTATATAAATTATTTCCAGGAAGTAGCCAATTAAAGAATGCTGAATTCATGTAATCATTATCTTTTAGTCTGTGATTACTAACTACTGACATGCCTCACGTAGATTGGTTAAATTTAGTAAACTAATTCTAGTGCAATGCAAAAAGAGAGTTATCAAAGGGATTTACTTGAAGCTAAGAGATCTTCATAACCTGGTAAATCTTCCTTCATATTGCTTGATTTATTATTTGCTTGTTCCGTTCTGTTGACATGTGTTCAGTTAGTAAAACAATCAATAATAGTATGCACATAAATATACCTACACCTGATTATATGTAACATCTTGCGTTGCTTAATCAAGAATAAATATCAAATACACACCCATGCATAAGTTATACATGTGTGTATTGTCTGCTTCAGTGTAACCAAAGGGTGGATATCTCCACCTTTTTAGTCAACAAAAGGAAGGAGATAAGAACAGATAAACCAGAATAAGTTACGTTCCAGTCCTTCCAATTTCTCTTTAGTACAATTATTGCCTGAAAAGGAACTTTTCTTTTAAATTGTCATAAAAGTATGATCCAAAGAACAGATAAACCAGAATGATGAAAACCCTATTATCAGAAACATGGAATTTACCTTCATGTAAATTTCTCTTCAAAGAAACACCATTTTGTAAATTCTCTTTGCTAGCAGCCTAGCACTCTGCCTTGAGAGAGGATTAGCTTTATATGGCAATTCAATGCCTGCGAATATGATAATAAATGCAAGCAAATTATCAAACAGATCTTCTTTTCATAAAAGAAAAAAAACACAGTAGATCAAATAGATAACCTGAAGAAAAATTCTTGTTACGACATGTGTCAACTTGAGACCCTTGTCTGTTCTCATCAGCATTGTGATCTGAACTAAGGGAACCGTCATTAGTAAAAGTATTACTACAGTGAATTAAGGCCATTATAACACATATTAGCCAAAAGAGCAAAGCACATATGCAAATTGAAGGGTGATCACTATAACCTGCTATAGATTGACGGCCTTGCTCCCGAACACTAAAAAACATAGCATCAATTAGATTATATTATAATTACTAGCGCAGTGAAATCAAGTCCAACTTCTGACCACCTAATTGATTAGATTTAATTACATGAGTTGAAATAAACTCTGGTAATACCAAGCAGAAGTTGGGAACTTGAGATACTTAGGACGATTGCATCAGTTAGATTTAACAATGGTGCACAATGTAATCAAATTAGGCGATATTATTATACTAACAATTGTTTAAGAATAAGCTGAAATTTAACT